GGCCATCCCTGTATGGGATCCGAACCCGTGGCCTTGGTGTTATCAGCACCGCACTCTACCGAGTGAGCCACAGGCTGGCCCCGCAGTATGGCTACTTATAAAATATAATGCCAAAATCAATACCTTACCTAAATATAGCAATAACTAAATAGAAAATGTTATAGAGGGCCAGCCCGTGGCTCACTCGGGAGAGTGCGGTGCTGATAACACCAAGGCCACGGGTTCGGATCCCATATAGGGATGGCCGGTTGGCTCACTGGCTGAGCGTGGTGCTGACAACACCAAGTCAAGGGTTGAGATCCCCTTACAGGTCATCTTTAAAAAGAAAAAAAGAAAAGAAAGAAAATGTTATAGAAAAGAAATTCCATTCACAATAGTAACAAAAGCTATAAAATACATAATAATATGGGGCCGGCCTGTGGCTCACTCGGTAGAGTGCGGTGCTGATAACACCAAGGCCACGGGTTCGGATCCCATATAGGGATGGCCGGTTCGCTCACTGGCTGAGCGTGGTGCTGACAACACCAAGTCGAGGGTTAAGATCCCCTTACCGGTCATCTTTTAAAAAAAAAAAAAAAAAAAAAAATACATAATAATATAGGCAAAGATCTCTTATACAAGTGAGGATAAAAAAAAGCACTAAACAGAAAAGAAAAATTCAATTAGATTTCAAGATTAAAAACTTCTACTATTTCATTTAAGAAAATGAAAGGCAAGCCACAGACTGGGAGAAAATATTCACAGTACATATATATGACAAAGGATTTGTACCCAAAACATATAAATTTTACAACTCAAAATAAGAAAATAACCTAATAACAAAATGGACAAAAGATTTGAACAGACACTTCACAAAGGAAGATATATGAATAGCCAATAAGTAAATGAAAAAATGCTCAAATCATTAGTCATCAGAGAAATGCAAATAAAAACCACAGTGAAATACCACTATAAACCCACTAGAATTGTTAAATTTTAAAAGACTGACCAAAGTCATAGATTTGGATCCCCGTACTGGCCAGCCACAAACATACACACACACATATAAAGAATAATAATAAAAAGACTGACAATACTGAATGATACTGAAGATATAGAACCATTGGGACTCTCGTACATTAGAGTATAAAATAGAACTACTTTGATGTACTATTTAGTGGTTTCTTATGTTAAATATACAAAGTTAAGCATACACCTACATACACTATGTCCCAACAATTCTACTCCCAGGTATTCCTAAAGAGAAATGAAAACATGTCCACAGAGACTTATACACAAATATTCATAGTGGCCCAAAACTGGAAACAAATTGCTACATATTTTTGCAATGGAATACTACTAAGAAATAAAAAGGAGCAAACTACTGTTTTGCTCAACAACATGAATGAATCTCAGAAACATGCTGAGTGGGGCTGGTTGGTTAGCTCAGTCAGTTAGAGTGCAATGTTATAACACCAAGATCAAGAGTTCAGATCCCGGGCCGGCCCGTGGCTCACTCGGGAGAGCACGGTGCTGATAACACCAAGGCCACGGGTTCGGATCCTATATAGGGATGGCCGGTTTGCTCACTGGCTGAGCATGGTGCTGACAACACCAAGCCAAGGGTTGAGATCCCCTTACCAGTCATTAAAAAAAAAAAAAAAAAAAAGAGTTCAGATCCCTGTATAGGCCAGCTACAAAGAAAAAAGTTTAAAAAAAAAAAGAAACATTATGCTGAGCAAAAGAAGTTAACACAAGAAAACATGTCGTATGATTCCATTTGTTTGAAATTCTAGAAATGTATATCTATTTAGAGACAGAAAGCAGATCAGTGGTCTTCTGGGGCTAGGGGTGGTAGGGATTAACTGCAAAGAAATAAGAGAAATATTTGGGGAGATAGAAATTGATTGTGGCATACGATCAATTACAAAGATGCATATGTTTGTCAAAACTCATCAGACCATGAACTTAAAACTATAAACTTGAAATGATTATTTGATGGTATATAAATTATACCTCAAAAAGTTTGGTTTAAAAAATTTCTCTTAGGGCTGGCCCGTGGCTTACTCGGTAGAGTGCGGTGCTGATAACACCAAGGCCACGGGTTCGGATCCCATATAGGGATGATCGGTTTGCTCACTGGGTGAGCGTGGTGCTGACAACACTAAGCCAAGGGTTGAGATCCCCTTACTGGTCATCTTTTGAAAAAAAAAAAAAAATTTTCTCTTAAAAAAATTTATTTGGGGGCCGGCCCGTGGCTCACTCAGTAGAGTGCGGTGCTGATAACACCAAGGCCACGGGTTCGGATCCCATATAGGGATGATCGGTTTGCTCACTGGGTGAGCGTGGTGCTGACAACACTAAGCCAAGGGTTGAGATCCCCTTACCAGTCATTAAAAAAAAAAAAAAAAA